CTGCGCGCTCCAGTGCCAACGTGATTTACGGTAGCGGTCACTCATCGGACTGTTAAAACCGGCTTGTAGCGATATTTAGAAATTGTCTGGGACTACTCTGAAAGCGCTATTTGCTTAGAGCCTTGTCAACAAGGAGTTTTTTGTTTGGTGGTTCACTTCTTGCCCGGAACATCAGAACCTACTTCGGAACTGTTGATCGTTATATCCGTATATGGATACAATAGTGTTTAATGCATATCATGGGATAGCATACACTTCAGCTAGTTTCGAGCTCGCTTTGTGTCTAAGCCATGAACCAACCGCGAGCTTCGCAGAAATTATTTATGAATGCTAGTTCGAATGAAACTTACAATTTGATAAGCTTTCAGAAATGTTTATGATTATTAAGTTTTATCTAATATTGCTTAATTTCGCTGATCAGGATTAAGTAAACAACGTAATAATTTTAGTACTCAGTTCGACTATGTGATCATGATGTATTTTATTTTCCCAACCATATCAGTAAACACGTGATGTAAACACGTCAAACTTCCATTACTGTAACTCATGATAATAGAGACAGATCGCACATCTTTAAAAAATTTCATCAGATCTAAGCATTGCCGCAGCAGCGCTCACAGAATCGTTCTTGTCCCACGAGGTGCAAAAGCACAAAACGCGCGATGTCTCAACTTGTTAAAAGGCCTTGGTAGGTGGCACTAGGACTAACCCCAGGAGGGCAAGAAACAGCAGGGAGAACAAATCTACTTACATCCTTTCCAAGAATCCGTTCCCCTCCTTGTGGTTAGTTCCAAGCGAACGATAATTGCTCATTACTTGAATGCTCCCCTTACTCATCAACCCTTGCCCCCACGAGAGTTGAGCGCCCTACCGCAAACAACATCACTATGCTGGTCTGTATCATTTCTTCCTACTGAGGCTTCCTTACCATCACCGCAGTCCGGGTGCGGTTCACTAAAACAGAAAACGACTTGACGCGCTGCAAAACGCGAAAGAGTCGCTTTCTTTCCTAGTGAACCGCACTGCCGCAGTCCTCACATCTCCACGCCCTGGGATGTAAGTCGAATCGCACAACCTTGCAGATTTTCTCCGCGATATGCACACGCTTTGACGTGTTGCATTCTACTGCAATTTGCCTCGTCCAAATCGCCGCGCAGCCGCGCGCGATTTGCCGCGCGCCAGCCCGGATGAGCCAAATCCGTCGCCTCGCCCGCTAACCTAAGACATCAAAGCGGCCCAATGAAGAGAGCGCGCTTATCCACGTAGCAAGGGTAGGCCTAAGGCGTACGCTAATCCCAGCAGTGCGCAATTGCGCGGGCACAGCGGTGGCCACATCCGAATATCGGTTCAAATTCCGAGATTCGTCCACCACCCCACTACCTCCACCATGACCAACGACGTCGTTGCAGCTACTTCAGCTGCTAGTCCTCGGGTCTGTGGTTGTCCACCAGCCATGTCCACAATGTGACCCCTCCATTAGGACAGGTTGACCCTGGCGGCGAAGGGCGCCAATGCATACCATGGTGTGGGTCGCAGGAGAGAAAGCAGCTTGTTGACGAGTTAAAAAGCTAACGAGTCTGCACCGGTTGTCGAGATGTAAAATATAGATTTTCCTGAAGCCACGTCCAAACCGACGTGGAGGTGATATAGGGTATTTAAAGGCAACTTAGAGTTCAGATTTCAGACCTCACCTTCTCAACCCTGCCTTCCCACACTCTACCCCTGATCTACATCTCTGCCCTACGGTTCATTGATCGCTTCTTCCGTTTCGTGCTTTTGTGCTCTATCATTGACCACTTCTCAATTGTATTCTTGTTTGTCGTTGCGATAAAATTAGTTGAGCTTTGTATCTGTTTGAAGCAGAAGAAACTAACACAAACAGGGGAAACTTTTGACTAGCCTTTTCGCTTTTCGCAGCGCGAAATTTCTCTGCTGCGAGAACTTGGGATCCACCCACCCAATTTCGCGCTACAAACACACGAAATTCACTTAGTGTCTTAGCGGCCCGCACCTAGCAAACCATAGGTGGCCTGTCCTACTCCTTTAACACGTTGACGATAGCCCCTTATGCGTGTACCTCGGCAACTTTTTGTTTATTTTTTTCACAATCGTCATAACTTCTTCAATAATTCCACTACTGGTAATTGACTCACAGTTTTTCGGATAAGATAACGCATGCACACAGTTTTGAAATATGAAAAAGGCCAAATAAACCAAATAAAACTAGCCAGAATCGGGTGAAATTCTGACGCGCATGCGCGTCATGTGCCGTCGTCAACGTGTTAATTCCTTTACTGCGAAAGCTCGTAGCGCGTGCTTTCCGGGCTCTGAGAGCGTTCACAGATAAAACGTCCCTAGACCTTCATCGCAAACTCATGGGCAAATAAATGGCGCATGTGAGATGTACACATTTCATCCTGAATGGCTACGACAACCGGAGATTTGTAACGCCGCCGTTATGGAAAAGGGTGTATTTTCTGTTTGAAGCAGAAGAAACCAACACAAACAGGGGAAACTTTTGACTTGGGGGCCGCCTTCTGCGAGCATTAGATCAGGTTCACCCAAACTTTTGTTATCTGCTGGCGGCTCCTGGACGGGTGCCAGCATTCTTGATATCTGACGGCTCGATCAGGGTGTCAGATAGCAGCGGTACCGATAGCCTGGCTATCGTTGATACCGTGGTGTCTTGGCCTCAGACGTGGATCAAAGGATCCGTCTAAGCCACCAGCCGTGTTATAACACGGGTGGACGTGGAAAGGCCAAGACACGTTTCTTCGAGTGCTGAGAGAACACCTGCATAATGGGTGGTGAAGCTCAAAAAGATTGTGATAATACGCTTGGGAGCACAGAGAATTTATGTGTTATTGTAGAACCAAGCGAGCACATGGAAATGGCTGGTATTGGAAGCCACGATAGTGCAAGTAGCTCACAGATATCGACTCCAGAGGCAGAGTTTGAAGCACAGGTATGCATTAAACTCATTGAAAAGGTCACTAATTTGAGGATGGATGTTAATGCAGAAGTTGCAAAACATTTCCGCCTAGGTGACGAAAGACGCGACCAAATTGAGTCCGTAGTGGAACAGAAGGTACAGCGCATTTTAACCCTTTGACTACTGGTGGGACACATGTGTCCCACTTCGTAGTCAAAGACACTACCACAGTTCCAGGGAATATTGAGGCAGGAGGGCTCATTTGATGGCTGAACTTGTGCACATATAGAAGCTTTCTAATTCCTACTATGACAATTAGTCGTCAGAAGCTAAAGCGAGTCATCCTGCGTAAGTTAATCTTTGACTACTGGTGGTACACATGTGTCCCACTTCGTAGTCAAAGACACTACCACAGTTCCAGGGAATATTGAGGCAGGAGGGCTCATTTGATGGCTGAACTGTGCACATATAGAGGCTTTCTAATTCCTACTATGTTCCCAAGTTTTCAGAAAAGCTTGGCGAACGTGGCAGCTTTGAGTTTGCGGTAAATGGAGCTGGTACGCTGTGTGCCCGTTGGAAAGACTGCAAGGAGGTCCTGGTAGTCAGCAATTGTCACGCTGACTACAACGCATGTGTTGCGCACAATGAAGGATGGATCGCGAAAAGAAGTTGAATGCCCTGAAGCTGTCTCCTTCTACAGCAGCATAATGGGCGGAGTAGATCTGTCTGATCAGAAATGTGCACTTTACGACTTCAATAGACGTTCCAGAAAATGGTGGTAAGGTGTACTATAAAATACTACAGGTGGCGGTTGTAAACGCATGGATAATATATCAGGAAATCCATCACGAGAAAACGAAGCTGATCAAATTCCTTGTTCCTCTTGCTCAGCAAATGATTGCGCAGGGGAGGGAAAGGACGGCTAACAGGCGCAAGCCCGGCATGGGGAGGCCACCAAAAAATTTCAGGAGGATCATCAACGTTGGGGACCATATGCCACTACAGTTAAAAACGCGTCGGCGATGTAGATACTGCGCGATGTCAAAGAAAGAAACTCGTACAAAAATAATGTGTGCTGCTTGCAACGTGCCCTTGTGTATATCATGTTTTACTCCGTACCATTCATAGACCATATAATGTTGACCTTTTCAAACTTTTTTTGTAAAAGTTTTCGGGTCATTGAAGACTTTAATATTGTAAAAAAATGTGTGGTTGTAGAATTGCCAATTTATTGAACAAAAAAATCATCCGAGCGGAAATGGTGTTATGACAAGACGGGCCGCTACCGCGCGCATGGTCCCTAGATCAAATCCCAGGTCACACCCAACGTACATCAGCCAAATTTCTACAGCTGGTTGCCTGTTGCTGGGAGGGATAATTGCAACGCAGAACACATTTATAACTCGATTCTAAAAAAGTCGTAGTCTAAGGGTTAAAAAGGCTACAGCGGTTGAAGAGAACCATTGAGGCTCGCAGCTGTTCCGTTGCCGCATTGGGCGTAGTAGAGCAATACCTTGAATGGAGTAAGGAAGAAGAATTAGCTAGTAAGCTAGAACAACTCTTGACGGCTGAGGGCACCCTCAACAAAATTGTGAGGAAACTTAACTGTGGAAATACAGACGTTAAGCATCGTGTAAAAGGCTACTCAAAAACGAAAAGTTTCTTAACAGTACAATATCCTCTTTGCAGGATAAATGCACACGGAAAGATGAGGAAATTCGAGCACTAAAGGAAGAACTCGAAAAGCAAAAGCGGCGAGTGGCGGAATTGGAAAGCCCTAAGAACTGCGAAGGACAGCAAGCTTACCGAGCGGAGGTACCAGGTAGAGTAAGCCGAGAAACTAGTAGTATAAGTGGTGACAATGAGCAAAACAGGCAGTTGCAGAGTGGCTGGCACAAGCGGGAGAAAAAGGCCTGTCGTCGCGGGATGTGCAGCAGTTCGTCGAGGAGGAGCTGCACGAGTCTCAGTACGTTTTATGACTCTACTTTGAGCTCAAATGAAGAACGTATGAATGAGAGTAAAAAACGAGTGCCACATAGGAAAACATCGGGTGGGAGCCCAGAATGTAATGGGAGAATACCTAAAGTTTATAGCATTGCCGGATGTTGTGCCATACTCGGGAAAAGATAAAGAGTACCCGTTTGAACACTTTGTAGAAGCGTTCGAGTTGAAGTACCCTGGTCAATACTGGGAAGACAAAGAGCGCTGTGCATTATTCAGATCAAAGTTGGCGGGTAAAGCAAGGGCGCAATATGAGGCGCTAGCTAAAACAAAGAAGCGTAACTTCTACACATTAGTGAATGCGATGAAAGAGGTGTGTGGGGAGAAATCGCGAACCACCTCTATGATCAAATTTCTCATTGGGATGAGTCCTGCCACCTACAAGAGGCCTTGGAAGGGACCCGGTAGCGATATGTACGAGCGGTTGAAAGACGCTGCGATGAGGGCAGAGAGGAGACACCTGTCCTTGAAGAATCGCAAAAGTACTGAGTTCTCGCAAACTACAGGGGTCACAAGCAGAGGACAAAGAAATGTTCGAAGGAACTATTTCAAAGAAAACGATATATCGCAGATCAAGGCGAAGAGCAGCGTTGAGCTGGAAGACAACGAAGACCGTAAAGGAAATAAGGAACGCTTAAAGTGTTTCAAGTGCAAAAGTACAGGTCATAAGGCGCGTGAATGCAAGAACACGGCCACTAGTGAAGTAAGTCGTCCAATGTCGTTATCGGCACGAGTTCGTGGAGTGAAGTGCACCAAGGTCCACAGTAAACACGGACATATTCGAAACCGATCTCCGCATATTTTTGGCAAACGATCAATCATCGAGGTGACGAGAAAGGAAAGGTCCACTTGATACGGGGTCACAAGTATCGATCTTGCCGTCGATCGTTCTCCAAGAAGCAATGGACGATGGAATTGACATCGATGCCGTAGTTAAGGAAATTGCGCTTCCTAAATCGCTGAAGATCACAGACGCTTCAGGGAAAGCGATGAAATTCCTACTGCAGTGGAGGTTGATGTCGTAAACAGAAGTGATAACAAGTTAAACCGAGTTCGGATGTTAGTCTCTAAAACAAAGGAAAAGCTAATCATTCTTTGAACAAATGCCATCCCGCTGATAGGATACGAGGTCAGAAAAATTGGACATAAGGAGGAAGACAAAGAGGTGGAGCAACAGCAAAAAGAAGTGGAAAATAATTCCGCTGCCACCGTTGCTCGAAGAGTCTTCATAGCTCCTGGACAGACTGAATATGTGGACCTCAAGTGTGAAGAAAAATGCACGGAAGCAATGTTGAATTCGAGTGACAAAAGAGTTCCAAACAGTCTGTGCAAAGTAGCAAAGGAGTGGCAAAAGTGGCGGTCGTCAACGTAACCAATGAGCCCATAGTACTAGAAAAGGGCCAGGAAGTAGGCAAATGGGAGAATGCTTACTGGGATAATCTCCGCTTTAACACATTGCAGCCCGCGTGCATCGCCGGGTATGCACGTCGAAACTCCCACATCTGACATTTGTGCATCGCCGGGTATGCACATCTGTATTTTGCTCCCCCATGAACCTTTTTCAGTACTTCTTTGACTAATTGACTTCTGTTAGTCTCATGAATCCGTAGAACGTGTGGCATGTCGACAACTTCAATTTCAACACAAACAATCAGATTCTAATACGCCTACCTACTGAACAACTTATCATCAATTA